GATGATGGAAAAGAAAAAATGGAAACTACTATTTGGGGTTTAGGGTTGAGGGCTAAGGGTTTCAAAGAAGATCCCCCCCTTTGCAGGATAGGCCAGTTCCAAAAAGAACCTCCCCAAAATGCGGTACTTCCTGAGGTATAGGTGGTGCAAGATATCCTCCATTCACAATAGGACTCCAAGAAAAGGATATGTACCTTGCTTGGCAACCCAGAAGCTTGTCTGCCCAAAGCTCGCAAATACCGCAGTGGCAGGTTTTCTGCTTGTGCGGTTGCGGCCTATCAGCCTGCGCGTGGTGAATGCACAAGATCTCTCGACTGGAGAGGCAGCAACAGATATGAACAGTGACCTTCAGAAATGGATAGTACTAGCAATTGTTTACAAAATCGGGTGGAATACTCTGAATGAACAATTGAGCTCGCACCTGGTCAAGCACGCGGGAGTTTGAGTGCAAATCAGGCATGAGTATGACGCTGAACTGAGATTCACGAGAGCCTTCTGTTATAAAAGCCCCTCTGAACACGTTACTTCAACTCCAAAACCCTGAGCCGTTTGCTCCTTAACCCGAAACCCTGGAACCCCTAAATCCTAGACAAACTCTCCGCCTCTGTGCTCGAAGGAGTTGCAGGTGTCGGGGCCGCCAAAGGCCTCTGCACACGCTGCAGCAATCGACGGGCGTCCATGTTCTGGGGCTCCTCCACCGGACTTCACGGATTATATGTAGAGGTCACATGGGTTTAGGGTAGGGATTAGAGGGATCATGTAGGGCCATGTAGGGATTACATTATAGGGTTAGGGATATTACGCTAAAAAGGGGAAGGTCATGGAAAACAACGCGGAAATGGAAACTGGGCTGATGTTTGAGGGATTTATTTGATTACTGCCGTCTTCTGGGTCCTCATTGAGATACTAGTAGACAACCATGTAGCATATTCCTTACTGGGGCTTAAAATAGCAAATGCTGGAAATCACGTTCAACGATGACAGTGCGATGAAGGGCGATCCTATGTGGCGTGCTCTGATTCAAGAATCCTTTTTTTTTTACTTCCCAGAAGGCAATCACAATAGGGTTATGGTCTTGGGGTAATTAGGCTGACAAAGCGGACAGAAAGACGCACATGCAGGGAATACTGCTTGGGTGGAAATAGCATGTGGTCATTTCCAGAGAGCGCCTTTTGTGCACCTGAGAACATTAGATGCCATCTTATGACGATGTCCGAAGAGCTGAACCCCTAAACGCTAACCCTAAACCCTAGAGGAGTCACTGCAGATGAGCTATAGTCTACACTCCCAGTTTCCCCCTTTATAACCCATAGTAGGTTATAGTATCTTATAGGGATAATGGAAAAGAAGATGGAAACTACTTACATTCGAATAGGGTATATGTAGGGAATATATGAGCTGTAGTCTTAACTCCCGGTTTCCTCCTTAATATCCCCTATAATACTCCCCTATGAAATACCCGAATATAACCCCTTTCAAGGAGTTTAGATTATAGCTGAGATGATTACTTTAGGTCCTGCATTGGGAGTGCATGACGTTAGAATTTAGGGTCTGGAGATCTGGACTGGAGAGTCCAAGTATTGAAAGAAATACGCACCTCCTGGAAAGCAGTCTGGAACAAATATAGCACTATAACACATGAGCCATAATCTAAACTCCTTAAAGGGGTTTATATAAAGGAGTATATATGGGACTACTATGAGGGTGATTAAGGGGGGTGGTAGGAGTTTAGACTATAGCTCACATAGTTGACGTACCCACTCATTGAAGACGTGGAATTTCTAGGTGTGGCAGCTCTTTGCGGGGCTGAGAAGGTTGGGCTTTCAGGGGTGTAAGCTAGAGAGTGGCAAGCCTGTCCTAAGTTTAGGGGTTTAGGGCTCCCCACCCTAAACCCTAAACCCTAAACCGCTTTTACTTAAGACTCTTTATGGATCCCTATACCGCCCTACTCCAAATTTCAACCTGAGAGGCCTGAGACAAAAAGCCTGGAACCTGGGGTTTAGGGTTTAAGGCGTAGGGTTTAGGGTTAGGGGCGTGAAGACTTTCAGAAGCCCATTTAAGGCACCATTTTGTGCACCTCTTGAAGCAAACATGGAACCTGGAAAGGGGCCCCGTATCTTTAGGCGAGGCCATGTCTCCTAGTCACAGCTCCCATCCCTCTCGTGGACCCTCTGTAGCTGGGCGCCGACAGGGTTTGGGGTTTTGCTTTAGAACCCGGTGTTTTTGAGTTCCCTGGCACTAACTGTTTTGGGGTCGTCTGTGGGTCTGTAAACATGATAAAGCCCGAAATTGGTGGCTATAATTATCCAAGATTCAAACTCTCTAGGCCACTATACTCTATACCCTCAACGCTAGGGTAACTACTTGGGCCCAAACATCCTCAACCCCACACCCTAAAGTCCTAAACCATGAGCCCGACACATTGGGCCCTGAGCCCTAGATCCCTTCCCCAAAACCATAAAATCAGGTGGCTACTACTTTATCATGAAGTATTGGAGCCATTAGGGCTCACTACGGGTCATTAGGCCTTGTTGATTGGGCCTCCTATGATCACCCTAAACCCTAAGACCCTTAAGCCTGAACCCTGACCCTAAAACCTCAACCCTGAACCTCAAACTCTAACAAGTCCTTCGCCAGGACCTCCCTGAGGTTGGCATCCGCCTCACCTGACCCGATGGTAGATGGGATGAAAGAAGTCTTGCAAGACTTACAGTAGGGGTTCAAGAGGTTTTCGGGGCTTAACGCTAAACCCTAGACGCTAAACCCCGGGAGTTGGGACCCAAGGCTGTAATACCGACGTCCCCGGGACTATGGTATACAAGGCAGTGCAGGGTTTCCGCCATTCACAGTACGAATCTTCTGAAGAGCGTTCGTATTTGGGTATTGTGGGACGCAGACATGAGTGCGGCTCTCCAAAAACTGTGGACCCTTTGTGGGGTACCTATTTTTTGTGGGCTGTATTCTGCTAGGGACCACAAAAGGGATTACAACTTTGACGGCCTACCATAAGGTGACCCTATGCCTACTGGAGTACAAGATGGATGTTGCACCCTTAGCAAGCCTTACACCATAGCAGGGTTTAGGGCTTAGAGTTTAAGGTTCCATCCCCATAGCTCAAAGCCCTGAACTTAGCTCTATGTACACGCAGACTCTCCATCTACCTTCCATCTACCCTACATACCCATTACTGGGGACAATATACCCCGTATATACGGGTACTAGGAGCTAAACCCTAAAAACCCAAAACACTAAAGCCAGCAGTGGCTGCAGCCAAGGTGGCTTTCACGGTTCAAGTGCAGCAGAGCCAGGGCACGTCGATATTTCGACTTGAGGTTGCCTGTTTCGGAGTCAGGGACTTGAGCGTTTAGAGGTTTTGGGGGTTAGGGTTGAGGGATTTAGTGGTTAAGGTTTAGGGGTTTTGGGTTAGGGTTGAGGTATTTAGGGGTTAAGGTTTAGGGGTTTAGGGTTAGGGTTGAGAGATTTAGGGGTTAGGGTTGAGAGATTTAGGGGTTAGGGTTGAGGGATTTAGGGGTTAATTAGGGTTGAGGGTTTTGGGTCAAAATCATGGTTCTTCCGAGTACCCTACAAGTTATCAGACGTTTTGTGCCATAGAACTGGGAAAGGACTACAATTTTGACGACCTGCTGTTTGGGGCTTAGGGTCTGGGATTCAGGGCCCGAGTAAGTTCGGGGATGAGGGGCTAGGGTTTGGAATTTCGAATTTCTTTGTTCTGGAGCAATGGGTTTAGGAGTTGGGGCTGAAGGCTTGGGTTTAGGGTCCCGAGTTCGGAGTTTGGTGCTTGAGGTGTGGGGGCCGGAAAACATATAGCCGCAGGACAGTTGGTGCATCAGTCCGCACCCCAGCCTTCATATAGAAGGCAGGCTTTTGCATATCCTCCTGTAACTCTTTCCTTGCAAAGCTTACAACGAGGTGCCACTGTGACATACATGGAGGTGTAGCCTCCTACTTTGTGGCGTAATTCCAACGCAATTCTGGCTACAGCTGGGGCAGTTCCCTAAACCCTAAACCCTTACTGCAACTTAGGTCAAATGTAGCCTCAATACCCACACCTGTCAAGTCCCAACCCTCCAAACCTGAAGGACAACAACATGCTGAGGGTGTTAGGGATTTTCGTGCTCAAGGAAGCATATCATAACTTCGTGAATAAGAAGCGGGTCCAACGCAAGCTGCAAAGAAGGGCCATCATGGAAAAGGCCATGATCTAGGAGCTTTTCAAAAACAACGACTTCAGAGTCCTGAAGGGGGGGAACCCTGGAGTCTGGTTGTAACATTATGCAATATAAGTTTCCTAGGGGTCCCTTAGGGTCCCCTGCGTTTTGAGATAACCTAAGCACCCTGCCCCTAAAAACCTAAACCCCCTGCCCTAAACCCCTAAAGCCCAAACCCTAACCCCTAAACCCTAAACCCTCAAACCCTCAAACCCTTAAACCCTGAAAACCCCAAGCCCAGGCACCAGGTTCAGCTAGAAGGCTTGCATCTGCGTGGCGCAAGGCAGCGGTGTAGTTGCCCTGCCGCTGCGCCGTGAGGCTGAGGTTACGATGAAGGGCTCCTGGGATGACGGCCCAGGGACTAACGGTCTTAGGATGGTTCAGGGTTTAGGGGTTTAGGATTTAGGGGTTATAGGGGTTTAGGGGTTTGGGGGTTTAAGGGTGTAGGGTTTTAGGGTTTAGGGGTTTAGAGGTTTAGGGTATTTGCCGACACCCCAAACACTGAAGCCTACCAATCTCCCCTAAGCATTTCAAGGATCTACCCCTCCACGCACCCCATGAACTAAACCCTCAAACCTAACCCCCAAACCTTAAACCCTACACCCATAAACCCCTAAACCCCTAAATCCCTAAATCCCTAAACCCTAAAACCTTAAACCCATAAACCCCTAAACCCCGGACCGGTTTCCTTCCACAAGTTTTGCGGTCCGCTGAAAGTCTCGGTGCTCAAAAGGGTCCTGGGCGCTGCCGCGGTGAGCTAAGGCCAGATACGCTAGAGTTTAGGGTGTAGGGTTTGGAGTTTAGGATTGAGGGTTTGGGGTTCAGAGTCTAGGGTTTAGGGTTTAGAGTCTAGGGTTTACGGTTTAGAGTGTAGGGTTTTGGGTTTAGAGTTTAGGGTTTTGGGTTCAGGGTTCAAGCTGTAGAGCTTCGGCATTTCAAGCAGACCTGTCAAAAGCCACAACGTGTACAGTCCATACATCTTGCAATACACAAGAACTGCTCTGACAGTCTATAAGCCCTTGTTGAGGCCGGCTTTCACCTGTTAAGCAGTAGTCGAGGAAAACACTGGAAAACACCAAGAGGGCCTTTATGTAGATCCATGATTAATAAACCCCCTCCTTGAAAGGGCCTTAATACTAGGACATCTATGTATAATCCCTAGGAAGGGGAGGGGTTTAGTACTCAGGGGTCTACATTAAACCCCCGAGAACCTGTGGAGGTTGCCGCGTTCATGTTCATGCTTCTGGCCAGGAATCCATCAGGGTGCCTTCAGCAGGGTTAGCTTAGGGGTCCTAACATTCTCATCCCTGGAGTAGAAACAAATGGGAGAAACTACAAGGGAGACTTACCCTAAGGGCCCTAACCTTTACCATAATCACTATAACCAAAACACCAAGTACCCAATTACTGGGTACATGAACCCTTAGAGCTACGCAAAAACAAGCCTTCAGCATCCGTGGGCCGAGAGGCCGCAAGCTACACAAATACCACCGCCTGGACCCCTGTTTTCTTGGCAGCATTGCTTTTTGTTATGGGTTGTGGGCCATTCTTGTAGCCATTATTGAGGTCAAGGCAACCCTGTTCATGTGGAAATGCTTGAGACCCTCCGTTTTGTGGCCAGGTGGCTATGTAGGGGTTTCTGGGGGCCCTTTACAAGGGGTCCCCAGATTATGGATAAGAATTCATAGGGGCAAATGGCGGTCAGCCTATTCATGGAAATCTACCATGCGGGAATTAGCTTTGCTTATCTGTCGCAACTGGGGAAAACTTGTATGTGAAAACCGGAACCCCAATGTACGCACCCGCCAACACTGTAGTAATCTAGTTTCATCTCCGTACCAAGACTTGCAAAAACAAGTACTTGGATTTTCAGTGCATAGTACTCATAACCCATGTATAACTGGCACGCATAACCCAACTAGAACCATATTGGGAGACTTAGGGCATATCATTGGGTTAGAAGTAGGTTTACAGTTGCGCTTGGGATTGCCCTAAACCCCCTAAACCCTAAACCCTAAACCCCTAACCCTAAACCCTAAACCCCTAAACCGTAGGAGCCCAGGATCTTCTGTCTCCAGGGATTCCAGGGCCACAAGACCCACAGCTCGAGCGACAGAGCGGAGCCCGGATGAATACCTGGAGACTCCGGTGCCCTAAGGGTCCAAGGACCCAAATAATTAGGGTCCCTTTAAAGGGGTCTAGGGGGATATATAGGGATATATGGGGACTATATAAGGGTCCAAGGACCCAAATAATAGGGTTTTAGGGCCCAAATACTATAATATTAATGGTAGTTTGGCCCTAAAGCCTATTATTTGGGTCCTTGGACCCTCAAGGTAAGGGTGCAACTACCCAACTAAACGGGTTGTTGAGGATTTGGGGGCTAGAAAGGGGACATCGGGGGATAGTGTAAAGGTTCTGTAATACTATCTATAAGGTTATGAGGGTCAAGGTCCCCAAGTACATGACCTTTGGGCCCCAGATACTGCAATTTCAATGGTTTCTAGCACAGTACCTGAAACTCTACTGTAGGTGGACCCTCTGGAGTTTGGAGTTCACAAGAGCTGCATTGAAATTTTCAGCTTAGGACTCACCAAGCAATCTGCCTGCGCAATGCTCAGTCAAGACACTGCTCTTCCGCCTCCTGCAGCTTTTCTGCAGGAATGAAGCAGTTGCCACTTTTCTTGCAGCCCCAGGCTTTTCGCAGCAGAGACCAAGCGCTTCCGACGGTGCTTTGGTCACAGTCGCATGTTTCAGCAGACTCCAGCCAATGCACGGGATCTTCCATGGCTCAGGTTCTACGACACTGTGCATGAGGCTCTCCGGATGGCTTAGCACTACGACACACGTTCACCATACATCCTAAGCAAGCCCTTGTATTTCCTACATGCGAAGCGCTTTTCTGGAGTTAACGCAAATGCCAACTGGTCGCACAAGAGGCTCAGGGTGGTATAAGCAAGCGCTTTTCAGAATATGCAACCCGCCCCAAGTAATGTTGGACCTCCTTTTGCCTATGGGTCCTCTATAATGAGTTTTGGGGCCCGCCTATTCAGGATCAGGGCAATGATTGGAAGGCCCCCTATAATGAGTTTCGATTTCGGGG